TTTTGCTACTAAAATTGTCCTAAGAATAATGTCACGGCTCGAGATCAACGCTAAATGATGAAATTTTATTGATGGCATATCAAGAGGGTAATAAGAAGTGGTAATCTGCTCGAAAGCTACATAGATGGGTAAGAGTATTTCCAGAATATATAAATATAGAGTACTTAAATGAATTACACGATAAAAATAATGTGATAGAGGTTAGGTTATGCTACATGTTAGATTGCGTTCTCCTCTACCTTGATGAAAACATTGATATTTTTACTAAAAAAATTTTCATAGTTAATGAATTTATGGATGCCTGTGTGGAAGGATGACATGGGAGAGTGGTAGAGAGCATTTCAGGAGCTAAAGTGGGGCATGGTGTGCAATAAGAAAAAATTCCTAATGAAGAAAGTTCAAACTTGAAACCTAATAACTATTTATGCAATGCCACTACAATATTGCAACATGTATGGTTTAAGAGAAATCTACTAAAAATTAAGAAATATTCAACTAAGATATTTAAAAATTTATAAAAAAGACACAATCCTGAGGATTCAGGCAATATTTATTAATGAAGAGCATTTATCTTTGGTCAAGTCTTGAATGTTTGGATTAATTAATAACTCTAAGAAAAATTATATAAGGGTGGGCACTAAAATTAGAATTTGGTTTTAATAGTTGAATACTCTCATTATATGATTAGATAATAAAATTATAAATATTTTAAATTATATAAAATATGATTTAAGCACTTGAATATTATTCATATTAATTGCATTTTTTGCAACAATTTGATTCTTTATCTTAATAACAGAGTAAGCTTGGTGTTTCTAAAAAATAATGAATTATTTGATTAATATTATGAATCTGTGGTCTCTAATTTCTAGAAGTATAAGCACACTCATGTATATTATTAGACAGGAGAAAAAAGTTTTGAATTCATAATTTGATGAAAAGATCATATATTTTCTTAATGAACTAGATCAAAGTTCATTAACTTATATATTAGATATCACTTTATACGATATTCATAACATTACATAATTGTAACCCCGGTTGCCCCTCACAGTTGATCTTGCATGAAATGATGAAACCATTCTATAATCTCTTCTATAGGGTACTTAAGCAGCGCGGGCTATTTGAAAAAAGATAGGAACTTATTCCCTTAAATCTCATTAGATGTAGAGGAGAGTGACCAAAGATGAAGTCCTAAGGGCTAAAATAAGATAATCTATTTTAATATTTAAAGAAACTTAACTTGTTTAGGTAGTCCATGTGCATATGATTTGATAATTGCTCCAAGTCTTACTTGCAGCAATGATTGAGAGTGATGCAATATAATACTTATTGTTTTTTTTTTTTTTTTTTAAAAAAATTTTAGAGGACACAAATAATTACACATAATTGTATGTCATTTTTTAGAAGATTTATTCAAAAATAATAGAAATCCATAGGTCTAGTTAATATTTATGAATTTAACATTATTTCTTTATATAAATTCATTACTCTAGTTTACAAAATTCTATTGTCGAAGTTGTAAATGTTGTTATGGATGTTATAAAGTATATTAATTTTATAAAATATGCTTTATTATGCTTATACTTTATTGTATGTATTTATGGTATTGTGTTATGACAACTATGTTGCTTTCTCATAATCTACTTCTTATATTATGAATGACGTGTTCAATTCTTACAATCAATTCTACATTTATATAAGTTTATGTTAAACCTATTGTATTTTAGGTTGATAATATACTCTTTTTGCCATAAATGATGAATTAATTAGAGAATAATGCACTTTGTTGTGTCATTGTTATTTTAATTATAATTTACTTGTATTAGCCTATGTTATAACCAATACTTTTTGAATGTTGATCAAACGCTAAATAAATAATGATAGAACCACAAGTGATCTATCTTCAAATAGTAAAGTTGATAGCCAAGAAAAAAAATGATTGAACATATCCAAGCCTTGATTGAAGAATCTCCATATCGTTATGAAATCTTTTTCAAGTTATCTTTGATTCGCAGTTGAATAATGATCACTTTGTTTTTCATACTATTGACTAAATTGTTTTTCGACCACAATCCATGCATCTTCAGATTAGGATAAGTCAATGATCAAATCATTTATAAACCCATTCTATATACTTAAACTTCAAAGTTAGACTGGACTTGTTCCTCGTTAGGATTATTCGGCCTAGAAGAAAATTTTGGCATATTTATCCAAGAGAAAAAAAAAAGTATAAGCATGTTTCTCTAATTTTTAATGTTATGATGCATATAGTCAAACTGCCCTAAAATTTTATCGGAATATCTCATTATTTTTTAGTGAGAAATATTTTAATGAATTTATTTTCTTGTGTAGTTAGTGTATTATACAAAATCATTTAAAATTTATATTCATCCCAATAAAAAATTAATAAAAATATTTTAAAAGATAATTTATGAGAAATATTTTTCAATAATTTTATCTATGTTCTTCATACAAACATTACATCGAATTTGATTGAGGTGGTCTAAACTTAAAATATAAAAAATTTGATTTTGGTTTAAGTTAAAAATTAGTGATTTAAGATAAAATTTTAATTGATTTGAGTTTAAAATATCATTTTATTTAATACTTTTTTAAAAAATTTAAACTTTTTTTGTTAAGAAGGAAGAGAGTTATGTTGAAGGTGTTGACATAATGGAGGCATTAAACGATTGAATATTGGAAGAATCATATAACACCTTGAAGATATCACTAAATTATGAATGATAAATTATTAGGCATGAAATTCATACTCATGACATTGAAAAAATATTTCTCCTTCAACTACTAAGCCATATGTCATTTTACAATTTACTTATACTTTGAAGTTATGTCATAATTGTCAATGACATGGCCAAGTTGTGTATGCCACATATCTCATTCATGATTTTAGATGCATTATAGCCTCAATTAATCTTTTTGAGATGTGTGCTTACATTATTGATGATGTCTTTTAATGCATCCATGTACTTTTGAGTGAATGAAAAGAGGGTCCCTATAAAGCACAAAAAATAAAGGGGCAATAACATAAAACTAACAACTTCCCTATTTACAAAACCAAACCAACACCCTTTTCTTCTAATTTTCAATCAGCGCTCAAATATCAAAATTCACCATAAAACTTCAACTCATACTTTTAATTTTAATCAAAACCCCAATTATTTGATCACGACATTCATAAATGCATCGGTCTGGTAGTTAAAAAAAAAGACGTAAGTACTAATTTTGTAAATAGTAAAGTTTTGAGTGTTATGCACGCAATTCTCCTATAAAACTCCATATCTTTCTTGTGTGATAGAAAAATCTCATAATACACATAAAAGACTTGATCATAGTGTCCTAAACATCACTTTTTTTTGGCATAATGGCAAAAATGAAAATAAAAGTATAAAATAACATTAATAAGCACTTAAAATGATATTGTGTGGAAGAATTGATAAGAACCAACAAAATACAAAATCATAATTGAAAATAAACTCATAGAGAACATGATATGCTTTTCTCAACCTCTGTAATATGTTTGATTATCGACATCATGAGTGTTAAAGTCGACAAGACTTGCATAAAAATAATTTTAAACTCTACTTTCATGATATCAAGTAATTAACTCATCAAAAAAAAAAATCTAACATTATTCAAATGAAATCTCAAATGAAATCTACCATCTGAAGCTTAGAACAATAATTCATCCACCATGCATAATAATTTGTCAAAAATGACAGATATAATATGACATCAACTTGAAAAGAGCTAAAATCATATCTAGCTTATCTTCTCTATGAACACTGTCAAAGATTTTATGCCAATAAGAACTTGGCATCCATCCTCTTACTGTGTGAATTCACTATCAAATGACTAGAAAAAATAACTATGCTTAAAGGCTCTTTAATCTTTAATGGAGAATTACAGAATCCTTTTGATGGTGCACAAAATCTTTGTTAGCAAAAGTCAAATTATGATCATCCTCTTGACAAACATTCACCTACATTCACCTAAACTTTTAATAGGCCAAAGTTCACAACAACTCGGAACCGTAGAATCATAAATTTTGATAGGGATTTGTGGTTATTCCCCCCCAAAAACATGTTCCAAACTGAAGATGCTAATGTTTTTTTCAATCTAAAACAAAGATTACTACTAGCATATGCTAAGAATTTGATGGTCTAATAACGATCCTTCATAAAATTTTCTCACAACTGAGAAAAATAATTAATCACATGAGCTTGCACCTATAAGAAACTTGGAACTATATCATAAAATTGTAAAAAAATACGAGTGAACTACATGAGCTATAGCTTATTTAACATTATGCTCTCAGGTGAGCCAGCACTAATTTTCGGAAGCCACAAATAAAAAATAGTTAATGAACTTCTAAACTACTTTTGAAACATGGCAAACATTTTGGAAAAAATTTGACAGCAAGCTAAGACTCCACCCCTACCTACTCTGTTGATCAAATAAGCGCATTGCCAGTTCAAACTTGAGGCTTCAAAGCAATTGTAGAACCTATAAATACATCTTGCTTCACAACTATATAATATATATTTGATTCTAATACAATCAACAAAAAAGGATAAATTATCAACCTATTCATCAGAAGTCACATGGGCATACAAACAGAACAAAATGGGGAAGGTTAACAAGCATACCGCAAAATTCTTATTTATTTACATATCTAATAACAAAACTTCAATTTTTACAAACATGCCATTTAACCTATGCACGAAAAGGTGTATTCCATTTTTAAAAGAAAAATGGCCATATGTTTTACATGATATGAATGATTTTTTGGTATAAATGTAAAAAAGTAAAATTTGGTTGTTAGATATGTAAATACATCAGAGATTCAGAATAAGGTGATATGTATGTAAATGTGCCCCCCTTCCCAACCCGAAGGAAAAAAAACTCGTAACCAAACAAGCAAGCAAAACAAAATTCAATTATAATCTTTCATTCATTTTCATTACCATTTTCCTCTCTTGCAAATCCTTTCAGCCAAACAGAGCCTACAGCAAATGTTGAAAACTTCAAATATTACAAAAGATCCAATCTTTAAGAAGTTTATCCGACTGGGTGACTCCCCTGTAGATGTCACTATGGTACCGTAAATAAAAAATAAATAATCAGAAGTGGCAAAAGCCAGTACTCTTCTCCATGAAAGGCTCCACAGTTGGTTCAGGCAAGAACTGATTTAATCTTTGTCAGCACGGGCGATATATTGACTCGTAAACTTGTCAACTTTTGCTTCTGGATTAAAACGATGGTCATAGTACTCCACAGCTGCTGCCCCAGCTAGAGCAGCCAGAGTGAAGGCCTGCGCATGCAGCCTGTATTTTCAAAGCATTAGGGCAAGTTCATTGAGACTAAAGAAAAAAATTAGATTTACATAATATCACTCAATTCCTGTGTATTTACATATATAACACCTAAACTTCAATTTTTACATGCATGTCACCTTACGTATGCATGAAAAGGAATATTTCACTTTTTAAAAGTTAAACTGGTAGTATTTTTTATGTAATATAAAAGCTGAGGGTGATATACATGTAAAAAGTAAAATATAGGAGTTAGATACGTAAATGTGTAGGAATTCGATAGTATGTAAATACCCCAACCAAAAATTAGCCTTATAACACCCTTCAAGTTTGTAGAAGTTATTAATCAGAAAACACAATCTTGCTTTTACAGTCATGATTTCAACATCTCTAAAGATGATTCGAGGGTGCAACATAATTTTTTCCAAGTATGCAATAGCTTCCAATTCAATGGATGATTTGAGGGAGATAATTTTTTCAATGGATAATTGGGAGTTTTCCTTTGTAAATAATTTCAAATGGCCTCCAATTAAATTTATCATAATTTCACAATCATTCCTCTCTCTCTCTCTCCATCTATCCATCTAAAACTACCTACCTATCAAGACCAATAATTTAAATTGTAGGCTATCCGGTTTGCATGTATATGACAACATAATCATCGATTATATTTACCGCTTCCATTATACAGCCCTGTAATAAAAAATGATTTTGTAATTGAAGCTTATATCATTGAGTTTAGAGGGAGTTAGTCATGCTTGTTTAATTATTTCATTGCTTTGAATAAAGTATGAATTTATGGTTCATATTTCCCCTAGAAATTTCAAAAGCACCGTCTCCTTTATGAGATATAGGCGTTCTCTATAAAACTTTCATTGTCATAGACCATAGTCAATGATTAGTGGTAAGAAAAATTGTGGATTAAACTTTAGCAAAAGAAGAGGTCTTCCCTAATAATACCATTGCTATTTGTTCTATACGAAGAGGAAAAAGTGGTACAACTATGTGTATAATTTAAGAAATAATTATATTAGAGAAACAATTAGAATGATATTCATTTTCAGTTAAGGTAATTGAAAAACAGACTCTGCCAAAAATAATAAGAACACCCGTTACCAGCCCCATAAATATTACCGTGGTCATATGTTTCATAGGAAAAAAGTGTGATAGAAATATGAAACATAATTAAATAATAATTATTAAAGCAATAATTAGAGATATCTATTGAAGATGAGGTAATGGAAGATTAGACTTTGTTTTTTAAAAAATTAACAAAAAGATGAAAAATGCATCAATTATATGGGAAGACAATATGTGCAGAAGGATCAGATATGAAAAGGAATGGACAGTAAATATAGAAACATAGAAGTTGTCCAAAATAATTTGTGAAGCCCATGTTTAACACACAAGCATCACTAAAAAATGGAAAATAATGATTCATAAAGCCTAAAATAGGGATTCCAAGTATGCAATGGCTAGTGGGAGTTTCAACTAAACTACGATATAATTAAATTAGAAAATGTATCAGTTCTTGACCAAAAGTAGCTAAGAGACGTATTTCTTTTGAAGGGAAAATTACAACGGTATAATCTAGTTATGTTGAATGATTGCCTTAGTTAAGTAGTACAGTTTCTATTATGGCTACATAAATAATGTTCATTTAACACTATGATGAACAATAAACAATAAGTTCTTACAAGTTGGTAGTAGAAGAAGCATTCACGATCCCATAAAATTCCCACCTACGAGTGAGCTCCATATTGATAACAAAAGTGTTTGATACACTAATAAATCGAAAGAGACAAATGGATTGATGAAAAGAATTCTATAATAGGCTCTATATATTCCAAATATTATTAAACTCTAATAGATCATGCATCGAGGATCAACAATTGGTTGTGGATCCACCAGAGGAAGGGAGGGCAGGATGGAATGTTGACCTTGATTGGAAACCGAGCTTCACATTGAAATAATAACACATGAATTCTTCCCACTATAAAGAAAGGTAAATTAAAAGTTATGTCTCTCTAGATCTTCCCTTTCAAATTTCTCAGTTTTTTATTTTTTTTATTTTTATGTTTTCTCATTCTCATTTGCTATCTGAATTTAAAGTTGGTAATGATTTCAAGTTGAAGACAGGAGGATCTTTTGTGAAGATAACAATGTCAGCTTGTGTGATGTCTTTTTAAAGTTCATCTGAATAATCCATGAACTTTGCTTCTCACATGTATAGTAGTTTTCACAAGAGTACTGCTACATGACCCCACCCACAGGCACCAAAAAATTTCTTAAAATGTTAGTGTTTGTCTAACAGTTGGTACGCTGAATTTGCATAACAATTGATTGAGTACAGTGGCATAAGGTTATTAAACACCCTCCCTCCGGCTCTTTTTGGGGTTACGAGGCCAAATAAGATTTTTTTTTTTTTTCATATATATCATATATAAAGTTTGTTCAGGTAGTTTGTTCAGGTGATTGTGGTAGTTTTCATATATATAAAGTTTGAACTGATGATTGGTTACATTTTCTACAAACACATTTTGCATCATTTAGATCAGCAGTTTAGGGAAATTTAAGCAAGAACATAAAATATGTAGACTAATTTCTAGATACTCACCACCAACTAGTTAGATGAGCGGTAGATCTTTAAAGCCGAGGTCCATTGTTCAAATCCTTGCACAAAAACAGCTGTATAATCCCTACAACTTTTCGCAATATATTCTTACCGACAATTTCTGTTTCATCACATGCTTACTGTTTTAGGTCACACAACACCATTCTCTCATCTCTTACAGATTTCCTAGGTTACGCATTTATTTAAATTTGCTAAAGTAGATTGAACCTTCCTAGATCAATAACAAACATAGGCGAGTTTCATCCATATCTACCTAAAATTTGTCAAATTCTAATTTAAGTGGCTTTAAACATTTCATCGACAAAGTATTTTTTTTTTTTCAGAAAAAAGAGCATTGGAGATAAATAAAAAACAGGGGAAATCGTTGCATACCTGGCATGGATGATCTTAACGCTAGTTTTCATATTAGGCCGGGACCAATTATACGCGATCGAACTCCCAATCCCGGTAAGCCAAAGGCAACCTTTTATCCCAAAACAAGCCACAATCCAATCAAAAAGAAGATAAACTCAATCATAACCGCACCGAATACCGAAACCATATAAAAAATCAATGAAAAAAACCAAATTAAAATCCAGAAACGATGAAGATTACCGACTGCTCGTAGCTTATGATCCACGACCCACTTCCTGAACGACGCAATCTTGCTGGGTTCCTGCGCCATTGAAGAAATTCCTCTTCTGATTTCTTACAGAGTAGGAAAATAGAAGGAAAGAGGGAGAGAGAGAGGGAGAGCGAGGAACGTAGAAGATGGGAAGGATTCAATATATAGAAGGGGTTAGCCGTCTGGAGAGCACTAGCGAGAGTCGGCGAGGAAAGTCGTGCGGAGGTACGTGTTTGATTTGTTTAACAATACTGTTCGCTGACGCACACAGATTTGGGCGGTATGTGGTGTTGGGCGCACCTCAAGGGCTCACCTAGTCCCATTTTTTTCCTTTCTTTTAATCATTTTTTAAGCTTTCTTCCTTATTTTTAAATATGTTAATACAAAAAAATTAGCTTATATGTATGATAATTACTAGTGATCTTCAAATTAGTGGTGTTGACTGTCATATGATGTGTTGAAGGAAACTAAATTGTATTTATTTTTCTCTTCATACCGATCCAAATGATCAAATAAGCAAATCTTTACTGCTAAAGTCAAATGTCTAACTTGGGTCTAGTCAACCTATTATCATTGAAAAACATTCTCATGTTTGTGTTTGGACCTATGGTCTAGTCTTAAAATCAATCTATAACACACTTGATTACACGAGCAAATTATGATTGGGTCGATTCAAGATACAAAGGATTTCTCTCGAGAATGTGACTTGAGTGGCATCTCAAGAACCTTCTTAGAAACACTCTTATAAGAGTCTGTGGTTCATCTCTTACTCTCAAATACATTTATTCAAACTCCTAAATTAGGTCTAATTACTTGATTCAGATGATCAAGTGAACTAATCTTTACTCCTAAAGTCAAATGTCTACGTTGGGGTCTAATCAACTTATCATGACTGAAAATCACTTTTATATATGTGTTTGGTTTTATGGTCTAGTCTTATAATTAATCTATATCACGCACATGGCTACATGAACAAATTATGGTTGAGCCGATTTAAGATATAACGGATTTCTCTTGAGAATGTGACTAGCGGTATCTCAATAACATTCTCAGAAAAGCTCTCTTAAGAGTATATGATTCATCTTTCATTCTCAATTACACTAATTCAAACGCCTAAGTTGGTGTCTAGTCACTTGATCCAGATGATTAAGTGAACTAATATTTACTACTAAAGTCAAACGCCTATGTTGGGGTCTAGTCAACTTATCATCATTGAGAGCACTTTCATATTGGTGTTTGGTCCTATGTTCTAGTCTAAAAATCAATCTATATCAAGCAAATGACCACATAACCAATTTATGTTTGAGTCGATTCAAGATACAAAAAAATTGCTCTTAAGAATATGACTCTAGTGGTCTCTCAAGAATCTTCTCAGAAACTCTCTCTTAAAATTCAGTGGTTCGTCTTTTACTCTCAAATGCACTTAGTATTACACTCAAATCATTTTTATTCTCAATCATATTTTAATCACTAATTTCATTTATACTTATTATTATTCTTACCAACCTCAAAGCAATTTGTTAGCATCAATTTTTTATGTCTGACGTGTTGGATTCTCTTTCAAATATTATGGGAGTGTATAACATGCACACGTGTTGTAACTTGAGGAATCCATAAAATTTTCCCATGAGCGTTTCCGGGAATATCAGGGTCTAGTGCGTCGCACTCGTGAAGTGATTTAGGGGCACCTAATGGTGTTAAAGTCTCTGGTGTAAATCCCAGAGAGACATATCCCTACTAGCTAATTACATCTAGAGGGATACCCAAGAATACGTTGATAAAAGGGTTTTTTGCTTTTATTATCATGATTATGGGAAAATAAGTGCACAAGGGGTGCTTATTTCGTATAGGAAAATTCTGATGCTTCGAAGCTCACACTAAGTCATCGGGTAGAAAGTAAATCCCACACATCCCAAATGGATAACGACTCCTCGTCATACGAAACCTATGAAATAACCATAATCATTTTGACGGGGATATCCCGATACGTCAAAGTACATCTAGGTCATAAAGGAAAAGGACAAATCGTCGTATCGAAAATGGGCAGCAACTTATCTGCATCTGGTCGTCAAAGCGATATCAACGAAATCAAAGGAGAGATAGGGCTTAACAGGGTAGTCAAAAGAAGGGAGGAGTAGTTTTAAAAGATAGAGGTAGTCGGTTCAGAGTACCACGGACCCATCATCCCAAGCCGCTAAAAACCTAAGTTTACCCGGTCGTGAAGGTAGTCGACCCAACACGACCAAAGATCCCCAATCAGTAATCTATGAATTGCGTCGTCCATGGGGTACCTCGGTAGCTCTAAGGTCAAATGAATGAGACTCTATCCTATGACTATCGGCTGGAGCTCCAATAGGTGAAACTTATACCCACCAAAATGGTGAAGATGCCACTGGAAAGAAAGAGGAAAGGAGGTTCAGCGAAAAAGCTGGAAACACTCCAAATAAAAGGAATTACACCTCGTCTAGGTCAGGGAGCCTTCTAACACCCTAAGCACACTAGACAACCTTTTATGTAAAAAAGCTACGTTGGGTCAGTCGAGTTGGAGAAGTACAAGGGCTTCTCCTCGGGACATACAACATTATGTAGTTATCTACCACAATCCTAAGTGTGGAAGCTCAATTAAATATGATTGGGTATATGGTCATACATGCAGCCCATTTTAAAACCAGCTTGAAGGCCATGCAGAAAGTAAAGGACAAAATTTAATAGTCTTGAATCTCTTATTCCTAAAATTTTAAATATCTAAATATTTTATTATTAGGATTTTTAAAATATGAAGATTTATAATTTTAGGGTCGTTAAAGTGCCTAGATTATATTTTCTGTGAGATCTCAGATGCACAAAAATAAACAGTGAAAAAAGTCCAGACATGCAAGCACTCCAAAAATATAGAAAGAAGCCAAAACGTTGTTGGATCGGCAATGTATCCCAGGAAAGAAGGAAAAGCGGTCAGACTCCGCATATACATGTTCAATCCTAGATCTATAAAAAAATATAGAAATTCAGACTTAAGGCACGGGACACAAGCTTCCGCTTCTAGTCCTCGTCACATAGTTTGATGCATTTTTTGCCTCGAAACCCATGGTCATACCTTATTTCCGATACAAAATCTCCTATGACTCTAACAACTACATTGAAAAGAGAAAAAAGTACTCGACGTACATGCAAACAAGCATTATCGAGAAAGTCATGAAATGCAAAATATGTTGTGCCTTATAATTGGCGGACCTATAGAGCACCTGCAAGAAAATGATTAGAATCATTACTTGTTTCATTATAGCAGCACCTGTGTGAGTGTGTATTTAGGCACGACACTCTTTAGAAGAACGCCCTACTATATACCATGCACAACAAGCATAAAAGCACACACAAAAGCAGAAACGTGACGAATGGGTAGCATAAAAGCACAAAAATCATAGAACAATAGCCATATGTGTCGAAAAAGGACTGCCTAGCACCCTTAACCCAAGCCTAGCACAACAGCTACCGAGAAAGTGTGCTAACCATCATCTAAGTGCAGGATGAGTCTCCGGGTATTTATGACTTTAAGGAGGTCGTCGAACCAGCCGCTTCCTGAAGATCCAAGGGATATAAAGGGTCTCACCTATGATGGATTTTAGAAAGGGTTTGGCCTTACATATGACCTATTTTGCTACATGCATAGTCTTAAAATATGACAACTGTAGTAATATATATATATATATATATATA